CCAAGGCAAGGCGTATTTAAGTGGGCCAAGTTCAACAATTTCTTAACTTGATCCACAGTTTGCAAGCTCCTATGCCAAGTAGAGTGAATTTTACAAGTTCCCTTTTCCTCGCGGACCATCATCAATCTAAAAGACCTCAGCATGGTATATCAAAGTACGACTGGGAGTTGCTTTTTGAAGTTGGAGAACTTTCAAGTCATATCTATACAGATCATGCATAGTGCGACACACAAATACTTTCTGGCATTTTATTTTCACTGCGGGATATATTGAAATGTGCAAGGTGCCACTACTATTACATGATATCCTCGCATTTTAATATTTTGAGAAAATAGCGTTGGATGAGCCTGACTTCATTAAGCGCACGACAGCGTGAGGGGACTCGCAATTACCTGTGCCAATACGGCCGTAAAGTGCCACGCGGGGCCGTCTTATTCCGAGCTCGCCATTGCGTCAGGAAACTGCTATTAATATCCCCATTAATCCAATTGAGGTCCAGCCGTAGTTTACATCCTCGTGTGCTTTAATGCAAATTGAAAGCGGTCGGGAAGGGAGCAAAGTCATTTCGTTAATTCGAGCAAATAAGGCTACCATTGACGACAGGTGAGCGCGCGACGAGACCTGATCGATGGCCAATTACAAAAGCCGCCCCCGTCCGTTGGGAGCATCGCACGGGGCGATATATATATATATATATATATATATATATATATATATATATATATATATATATATATATATATATATATATATATATATATATAATATACAGTGAACCCTCGCTTTTCGCGGGGGTTACGTTCCAAAAAGAACCCGTGATAGGCGAAATTCGTGAAGTAGTAACCTTTATTTTTTTTACATTTATTATACAGTGAAATACTCTATAATACATTGAAACCAAAGAACAAAACTTTTTTACAGACCCAAGCATTTGTTCAAGAAATAAAAGTACTGTATAAACGTTTTTTTTATACAAATAACGTTATTGACACACAGGTAGAGAAGAAGCGGAGAGACTGTTTAGCCAATCAGAATGCAGAACACAATGCATAATGCAAATCCGTGAAACAGCGGGAACGCGAAAGGTGAAGCGAGGGTTCATTACACACACACACACACACACACACACACACACACACACACACACACACACACACACACACACATATATATATATATATATATATATATATATATATATATATAATATATATATATATGTGTGTGTGTGTGTGTGTGTGTGTGTGTGTGTGTGTGTGTGTGTGTGTGTTTGTGTTGTGTTTGTGTTGTGTGTTTGTGTTTGTGTGTGTGTGTGTGTGTGTGTGTGTGTGTGTGTGTGTGTGTGTGTGTGTGTGTGTGTGTGTGTGTGTGTGTGTGTGTGTGTGTGGAAATAAAGAAAATATTGAAGATGAAACTGAAGATGGAGATAAGATGAAGGAGAAGATGAAGATGAAGGGGAAAGTAAAGTTGACTATGAAGGTGAAGGCGAAGGTCATGATCAAGGTGAAGGTCAATGTGAAGATGAAGTTGAGGATGGAGATGAAGATTACGGTAAAAATTAAGGGGAATGTAAAGGTAAAAACGAAGGTGCAAATGAAAGTGAAGATGGTGGCAAATATAAGTGCAAGGATGAAAGTGATGGTGGCAAATATAAGTGCAAGGATGAAAGTGATAGTGGCAAATATAAGTGCATGAAGAAGATGATGCAATATAAGTGCAAGGATGAAAGTGAAGATGAAGATGATGGCGAACGTGAAGGCGTAGATGAAGGTAATGGTGAAGATAATGGTGACTATGAAAGCGAAGTTGAAGGTGGAGATGAGGGTAAAGATGACAGCGAATATGAAGACGAAGTTGAAGGTAAAGATGAAGGTGAAGATAAAGGTGAAGATAAAGATGAAGATGAAGGTAAAGATGAAGGTGACGATGAGGGTGAGGATGAAGGCAAAGCTGAAGGTGAAGATGAAGGTAAACCTGAAGGTAAAAATTAATGTGAAGATGAAGATGAAGGTAAAGATGGAGGTGAAGATGAAGGCGAAACTGAAGGTGAAGATGAAGGCGAAATTAAAGGTAAAAGTGAAGGTGAAGATGAAAGTAAAGATGAAGGTAAAGATGAAGGCAAAGAAGGCGACCTTGAAGGTGAAGATGAAAGTGAAGTTGAAGGTGAAAATGAAGGTAAGATGAAGTTGAAGTTGAAGGTGAAAATGAAGGTAAGATGAAGGCGAAGACGAAGTTGAAGATAAAGGTGAAGAAGGCGAAGGTGAAGGTGAAGATGAAGGTAAGATGAAGGTGAAGATGAAGGCGAAGTTGAAGGCGAAGATGAAGGTGAAGATGAAGGTGAAGATAAAGGCGAAGTTGAAGGCGAAGATATAAGGTGAAGATGAAGGTGAAGATGAAAGTGAAGATGAAGATGAAGATGAAGGTAAAGATGAAGGTGAATATGAAGGCGAAGTTGAAGGTAAGATGAAGGTGAAGATATAAGGTGAAGATGAAGGTGAAGATGAAGGTGAAGATGAAGGCAAAGATGAAGGTGAAGATGAAGGTGAAGATGAAGGTGAAGTTGAAGGTGAAGATGAAGGTGAAGATATAAGGTGAAGATGAAGATGAAGGTGAAGATGAAAGTGAAGATGAAGGTAAAGATGAAGGTGAAGATGAAGGAAAGATGAAGGTAATGATGAGGGTGAAGCTGAAGGTGAAGATGAAGGTGAAGGTGAAGTTGAAGATGAAGATGAAGGATGAAGGTGAAGATGAAGGTGAAGATGAAGGTGAAGATGAAGGTGAAGATGAAGGTGAAGATGAAGGTGAAGTTGAAGGTAAAGATGGTGAAGATGAAGGTAAAGATGAATGTGCAGATGAAGATGAAGATGAAGGTAAAGATGAAGGTGGAGATGAAGGTGAAGAGGAAGGTAAAGATGAAGGTGAAGATGAAGGTGAAGATGAAGGTGAAGATGAAGGTAAAGATGGAAGATGAAGGAAAGATGAATGTGCAGATGAAGGTGAAGATGAAGGTAAAGATGAAGGTGGAGATGAAGAAGAAAGGAAAAGATGAAGGTGAAGATGAAGGTGAAGATGAAGGTGAAGATGAAGGTGAAGATGAAGTGAAGATGAAGGTGAAGATGAAGGTGAAGATGAAGGTGAAGATGAAGGTGAAGAAGAAGGTGAAGATGAAGGCGAAGTTGAAGATGAAGATGAAGGTGAAGATATAAGGTGAAGATGAAGGTGAAGATGAAGGAAGAGAAGATGAAGATGAAGGTAAAGATGAAGGTGAAGATGAAGGTGAAGTTGAAGGTAAGAAATGAATATATAAGGTGAAGATGAAGGTGAAGATGAAGGCAAAGATGAAGGTGAAGATGAAGGTGAAGATGAAGGTGAAGATGAAGGTGGAGATGAAGGTGAAGATGAAGGAAGGAAGTGAAGATGAAGATGAAGGTGAAGATGAAGGTGAATGAAGGTGAAGAGGAAGAAGATGAAGGAAGATGAAGAAGATGAAGGTGAAGAAAGGTGAAGATGAAGGAAGTGAAGATAAGATGAAGGTGAAGGTGAAGATGAAGGTGAAGAAGGTGAAGATGAAGGTGAAGATGAAGGTGAAGGAAGGTGAAGTTGAAGGTGAAGATGAAGGTGAAGATGAAGGAAGATGAAGATGAAGGTGAAGATGAAGGTAAGATGAAGGAAAGTTGAAGTGAAGATGAAGATGAAGGTGAAGAAGGTGAAGATGAAGGTGAAGATGAAGAAGATGAAGGTAAGATGAAGGTGAAGATGAAGGTAAGATGAAGGTAAGATGAAGGTGAAGATGAAGATGAAGGGATGAAGGTGAAGATGAAGGGTGAAGATGAAGGTGAAGATGAAGGTGAAGATGAAGGTGAAGATGAAGGTGAAGATGAAGGTGAAGATTGAAGGTGAAGATGAAGGTGAAGATGAAGGTGAAGATGAAGGTGAAGATGAAGGTAAAGATGAAGGTAAGATGAAGGTGAAGATGAAGGTGAAGATGAAAGTGAAGATGAAGGTGAAGATAAAGGTGAAGATGAAGGTAGAGATGAAGGTGAAGTTGAAGGTGAAGAAGGTGAAGATGAAGGTAAAGATGAAGGTGAAGATGAAGGTGAAGATGAAGGTGAAGATGAAGGTGAAGTTGAAGGTGAAGATCAAGGTGAAGATGAAGGTAGAGATGAAGGTTAAGATGAAGGTGAAGGTGAAGGTGAAGATAAAGGTGAAGATGAAGGTGGAGATGAAGGTGAAGAAGGTAAGATGAAGGTGAAGATGAAGGTGAAGTTGAAGGTGAAGATGAAGGTGAAGATGAAGGTGAAGGTGAAGGTAAGATGAAGGTGAAGATGAAGGTAAGATGAAGTGAGATGAAGGTGAGATGAAGGTGAAGATGAAGTGAAGGAAGGTGAAGATCAAGGTGAAGATGAAGAGATGAAGGTTAAGATGAAGGTGAAGGTGAAGGTGAAGATAAAGGTGAAGATGAAGGTGAGGATGAAGGTGAAGATGAAGGTGAAGATGAAGGTGAAGATGAAGGTGAAGTTGAAGGTGAAGATGAAGGTGAAGATGAAGGTGATGAAGATGATGAAGATGAAGATGAAGGTGAAGGTGAAGATGAAGATGAAGGTGAAGATGAAGGTGAAGATGAAGGTGAAGATGAAGGAAAGATGAAGGAAAAGTTGAAGGTGAAGATGAAGGAGAAGGAGAAGGTGAAGATGAAGGTGAAGATGAAGGTGAAGATGAAGGTGAAGATGAAGGTAAGATGAAGGATATGATGAAGGTGAAGCTGAAGGTGAAGTTGAAGTTGAAGATGAAGATGAAGGTGAAGATGAAGGTATAGATGAAGGTGAAGATGAAGGTGAGGATGAAGGTGAAGATGAAGGTGAAGTTGAAGGTCAAGATGGTGAAGATGAAGGTAAAGATGAATGTGCAGATGAAGGTGAAGTTGAAGGTCAAGATGGTGAAGATGAAGGTAAAGATGAATGTGCAGATGAAGGTGAAGATGAAGGTGAAGTTGAAGGTGGAGATGAAGGTGAAGAGGAAGGTAAAGATGAAGGTGAAGATGAAGGTGAAGATGAAGGTGAAGATGAAGGTGAAGATGAAGGTGAAGAGGAAGGTGAAGAGGAAGGTGAAGATGAAGGTGAAGATGAAGGTGAAGATGAAGATGAAGATGAAGGTGAAGATGAAAGTGAAGATGAAGGTGAAGATATAAGGTGAAGATGAAGATGAAGATGAAGTTGAAGATGAAGGTGAAGATGAAGGTGAAGATGAAGGTGAAGATGAAGGTGAAGATGAAGGTGAAGTTGAAGGTGAAGATGAAGGTGAAGATGGTGAAGATGAAGATGAAGATGAAGGTGAAGATGAAAGTGAAGATGAAGGTAAAGATGAAGGTGAAGATGAAGGTGCAGATGAAGGTGAAGATGAAGGTGAAGATGGAGGTGAAGATGAAGGAAAAGTTGAAGGTGAAGATGAAGGAGAAGGAGAAGTTGAAGATGAAGGTGAAAATGAAGGAGAAGATGAAGAAGATGAAGGTGAAGTTGAAGGTGAAGATGAAGGTAAGATGAAGGATATGATGAAGGTGAAGCTGAAGGTGAAGATGAAGATGAAGGTGAAGGTGAAGTTGAAGATGAAGATGAAGGTGAAGATGAAGGTATAGATGAAGGTGAAGATGAAGGTGAGGATGAAGGTGAAGATGAAGGTGAAGATGAAGGTGAAGTTGAAGGTCAAGATGGTGAAGATGAAGGTAAAGATGAATGTGCAGATGAAGGTGAAGATGAAGGTGAAGTTGAAGGTGTAGATGAAGGTGAAGAGGAAGGTAAAGATGAAGGTGAAGATGAAGGTGAAGATGAAGGTGAAGAGGAAGGTAAAGATGAAGGTGAAGAGAAAGGTGAAGATGAAGGTGAAGATGAAGGTGAGGATGAAGGTGAAGATGAAGGTGAAGATGAAGGCGAAGATGAAGATGAAGGTGAAGATGAAGGTGAAGTTGAAGGTGAAGGTGAAGATGAAGGTTAAGTTGAAGGTGAAGATGAAGGTGAGGATGAAGGTAAAGTTGAAGGTTAAGATGAAGGTAAAGATGAAGGTGAAGATGAAGGTGAAGATGAAGGAGAAGATGAAGGTGAAGATGAAGGTAAAGATGGAGGTGAAGATGAAGGTGAAGATGAAGGTAAAGATGAAGGTGAAGGTGAAGGAAGGTGAAGGATGAAGGTGAAGATAAAGGTGAAAGGCGAAGTTGAAGGTGAAGATGAAGGTGAAGATGAAGGTGAAGATGAAGGTAAAGATGAAGGTGAAGATGAAGGTGAAGATGAAGGTGAAGTTGAAGGTCAAGATGAAGATCAAGATGAAGTCCAAGATGAAGGTGAAGATGAGGGTGAAGATGAAGGTGAAGATGAAGGTGAAGATGAAGGTGAAGATGAAGGTGAATGAAGGTGATGAAGGTGAAGATGAAAGTGAAGATGAAGGTGAAGATGAAGGTGAAGATGAAGATGAAGGTGAAGTTGAAGGTGAAGATGAAGGTGAAGATGATGGTAAAGATGAAGGTGAAGATGAAGGTGAAGATGAAGGCGAAGTTGAAGGTGAAGATGAAAGTGAAGATGAAGGTAAAGATGAAGGCGAAGATGAAGGTGAAGTTGAAGGTGAAGATGAAGGTAAGATGAAGGTAATGATGAAGGTGAAGGTGAAGGTGAAGATGAAGGTGAAGGTGAAGATAAAGGTGAAGATGAAGGTGAAGATGAAGGTGAAGTTGAAGGTGAAGATGAAGATGAAGGCGAAGTTGAAGGCGAAGATGAAGGTGAAGATATAAGGTGAAGATGAAGATGAAGATGAAGGTGAAGATGAAAGTGAAGATGAAGGTGAAGATGAAGGTGAAGATGAAGGTGCAGATGAAGGTGAATATGAAGGTGAAGATGAAGGTAAGATGAAGGAAAAGTTGAAGGTGAAGATGAAGGAGAAGTTGAAGATGAAGATGAAGGAAGATGAAGGAAGTTGAAGGTGAAGATGTAGGTAAGATGAAGGTGAAGTTGAAGGTGAAGATGAAGGTAAGATGAAGGATGATGAAAGGTTGAAGGTGAAGATGATGTGAAGGTTGAAGGTGAAGATGAAGATGAAGGTGAAGTGAAGAAAGGTGAAGATGGTGAAGGTGAAGATGAAGGTGAAGATGAAGGTGAAGTTGAAGGTCAAGATGGTGAAGATGAAGGTAAAGATGAATGTGCAGATGAAGGTGAAGATGAAGGTGAAGGTGAAGGTGTAGATGAAGGTGAAGAGGAAGGTAAAGATGAAGGTGAAGATGAAGGTGAAGATGAAGGTGAAGAGAAGGTAAAGATGAAGGTGAAGAGAATGAGATGAAGGTGAAGATGAAATGAAAGGTGAATGAAGTGAAGCGAAGATGAAGATGAAGAAGATGAAGGTGAAGTTGAAGGTGAAGTGAAGATGAAGGTTAAGTTGAAGGTGAAGATGAAGGTGAGGATGAAGGGTAAANGGTGAAGATGAAGGTGAAGTTGAAGGTCAAGATGGTGAAGATGAAGGTAAAGATGAATGTGCAGATGAAGGTGAAGATGAAGGTGAAGTTGAAGTGTGATGAAGGTGAGAGGAGGTAAAGATGAAGGTGAAGATGAGGTGAAGAGGTGAAGAGGAAGGTAAAGATGAAGGTGAAGAGAAAGGTGAAGATGAAGGTGAAGATGAAGGTGAGGATGAAGGTGAAGATGAAGGTGAAGATGAAGGCGAAGATGAAGATGAAGGTGAATGAAAGGTGAAGTTGAAGGTGAAGGTGAAGATGAAGGTTAAGTTGAAGGTGAAGATGAAGGTGAGGATGAAGGTAAAGTTGAAGGTTAAGATGAAGGTAAAGATGAAGGTGAAGATGAAGGTGAAGATGAAGGAGAAGATGAAGGTGAAGATGAAGGTAAAGATGGAGGTGAAGATGAAGGTGAAGATGAAGGTAAAGATGAAGGTGAAGATGAAGGTGAAGATGAAGGTGAAGGAGGTTAGATGAAGGTGAAGATAAAGGTGAAGTTGAAGGCGAAGTTGAAGGTGAAGATGAAGGTGAAGATGAAGGTGAAGATGAAGGTAAGATGAAGGTGAAGATGAAGGTGAAGATGAAGGTGAAGTTGAAGGTCAAGATGAAGATCAAGATGAAGTCCAAGATGAAGGTGACGATGAGGGTGAAGATGAAGGTGAAGATGAAGGTGAAGATGAAGGTGAAGATGAAGGTGAAGATGAAGGTGAAGATGAAAGTGAGATGAAGGTGAAGATGAAGGTGAAGATGAAGATGAAGGTGAAGTTGAAGGTGAAGATGAAGGTGAAGATGATGGTAAAGATGAAGGTGAAGATGAAGGTGAAGATGAAGGCGAAGTTGAAGGTGAAGATGAAAGTGAAGATGAAGGTAAAGATGAAGGCGAAGATGAAGGTGAAGTTGAAGGTGAAGATGAAGGTAAGATGAAGGTAATGATGAAGGTGAAGGTGAAGGTGAAGGTGAAGGTGAAGGTGAAGTTGAAGATGAAGATGAAGTGAAAATGAAGGTGAAGTGAAGGTGAGATGAAGGTGAAGAAGGTGAAGATGAAGGTGAAGATGAAGGTGAAGTTGAAGGTGAAGATGAAGATGAAGGCGAAGTTGAAGGTGAAGATGAAGGTGAAGAAGAAGGTGAAGATGAAGATGAAGATGAAGGTGAAGTGAAGTGAAGATGAAGGTGAAGATGAGGTGAAATGAAGGTGCAGATGAAGGTGAATATGAAGGTGAAGATGAAGGTAAGATGAAGGAAAAGTTGAAGGTGAAGATGAAGGAGAAGAAGTTGAAGATGAAGATGAAGGAGAAGATGAAGGTGAAGTTGAAGGTGAAGATGTAGGTAAGATGAAGGTGAAGTTGAAGGTGAAGATGTAGGTAAGATGAAGGATATGATGAAGGTGATGCTGAAGGTGAAGATGAAGGTGAAGGTGAAGTTGAAGATGAAGATGAAGGTGAAGATGAAGGTATGGATGAAGGTGAAGATGAAGGTGAAGATGAAGGTGAAGATGAAGGTGAAGTTGAAGGTCAAGATGGTGAAGATGAAGGTAAAGATGAATGTGCAGATGAAGTGAAGATGAAGGTATGAAGATGAAGGTGGAGGATGAGGTGAAGAGGAAGGCAAAGATGAAGGTGAAGATGAAGGTGAAGATGAAGGTAAAGATGAAGGTAAAGATGAAGGTGAAGAGGAAGGTGAAGATGAAGGTGAAGATGAAGGTGAAAATGAAGGTGAAGATGAAGGAAGGAAGGCGAAGATGAAGATGAAGATGAAGGTGAGTTGAAGTGAAGATGAAGATGAAGAGTTGAAGGTGAAGATGAAGGTGAGATGAAGAGTTGAAGTTTGAAGGTTGAAGGTGAAGATGAAGGTGAAGTGAAGTGAAGATGAGGTGACGATGAAAGTAAAGATGAGGTGAAGATGAAGGTGGAGATGAAGTGAAGAAGGTAAGTGAGTGAAGTGAAGATGAAGGTGAAGAAGGTTAGATGAGGTGAAGATGAAGGTGAAGATGAAGGTGAAGAAGTGAAGTTGAAGGTGAAGATGAAGGTAAAGAATGAAGTGAAGATGAAGGTGAAGATGAAGGTGAAGATGAAGGTGAAGTTGAAGGTCAAGATGAAGGTCAAGATAAAGGTGAAGTTGAAGGTGAAGATGAAGGTAAAGATGAGGTGAGATGAGTGAAGATGAAGGTGAATATGAAGTAAGTGAAGGTGAAGAATGAAGGTGAGATGAAGGTGAAAAGTGAAGGTAAAGATTAAGGTAGATGAAGGTGAAGTAAAGGTGAAGGTTAAGAAGGGGAAGATGAAGTGAAGATGAAGGTGAAATGAAGTGAAGATAAAGGTGAAATGAAGGTGAAGATGAGGTGAAGATGAAGGTGAAGTTGAAGTGAGATGGAGGGGAAGATGAAGGTGAAGATGAAGGTAAGATGAAGTGAAGATGAAGGTGAAGTTGAAGGTGAAGATGAAGGTGAAGATGAAGGCGAAGTGAAGATGAATGAAGATGAAAGTGAAATGAAAGTGAGATGAAGTGAAGATGAAGTGAAGTGAAGGTGAAGATGAAGGTGAAGATTAAGGTGAAAATGAAGGCGAAGTTGAAGGTGAAGATGAAGGTAAAGCTGAAGGTGAAGATGAAGTTGAAGATGAAGGTGAAGATGAAGGAGATGATGAAGGTGAAGTTGAAAGTGAACGTGGATGAAGTGAAAGATGGAAGGTGAAAGATGAAGGTGAGTGAAGATGAAGTTGAAGATGAAGGTGAAGATGAAGGTGAAGATGAAGGAGATGATGAAGGTGAAGTTGAAGGTGAAGAAGGTAAGTTGAGGGTATAGATGAAGGTGAATATGAAGTTGAAGATAAGGTGAAGGTGAAGGTGAAGTTGAAGATGAAGGTGAAGATAAGTGAGATGAAGAAAATGAAAGATGAAGGTGAAGATGAAGGTGAAGATGAAGGTGAAGATGAAGTTGAAGGTGAAGGTGAAGATGAAGGTTGAAGGCGAAGGAAGGTAAAGATGAGTGAAGATGAAATGAAGATGAAGAAGTGAAGATGAAGGTGAAGATGAAGGTGAAGAATGAAGGTGAAGATGAAGGATGAAGATGAAGAAGTGAAGATGAAGGTGAAGATGAAGTGTGAAAGGTGAAAGCGAAGATGAATGAAGATGAGTGAAGATGAAGGTGAAGATGGAAGGTGAAGATGAAGGTGAAGATGAAGGTGAAGATGAAGGTGAAGATGAAAGATGAAGGTGAAGATGAAGGTGAAGATGAAG